GGGGGGGGGGGCATTGAGATGTAGGCCAAATTGTAATTTCCAACAAAGAATCACAATAAGTACAAGATTATCGTTATTCGTCATGCATAAGACAGAGCAACGCACAATAACGTGTTCATACGTGTTACTGAATACATGGAAATTTTAAAATTTACATAGACACTAATCCAGCCAAATTTAATACGGTAATGATGTTTACCTAGAGTCCATAGTAGTTATTAACAACTGGATTTCGGATGGGTTATCGATTTTCACACATCGATTACGGGACGATCGACACAACGCACAAAGTATAGCCATGGCGTTTATAGTGTTACTTCATTTACCGATTATAGTAATTATTCCGATTGGATTAAATTTGTGCCGAGAATTAGCGGATTAGGAGCCTTTAAAATGGTCCTGGGAAAAAGCGCGTTGAAAACAAGTCACTATGGCTCCACGTTGGACCATTACATTTAGATATGGGGAGATACCCAAATAGAAATACAGTATACAGTCCTTAAAGTCTACTGTATTTGCAAAGACCGCCCTCCCTGATGTACGGTACAGAATAAAAAATGAACTCTAGTATCTGTGATATCATTTCCATTTAAATCACATTCATGCATGATGGTGTAATATAACATCATCATATTACACCTTATTTGGGTGTAATATGATGGTATCATATTACACCCAAATAAGAGTAGGCCTATATCACATTTATATGTCAAATAAAAAAATCTGTCCAATAAAAAAAATTCTTTGACAAAAAACTTTTGTATGCCGATATTATAGACATGATGTGATGTCATCATTCTGTGGAACTTTATCCCTTCTGACCTACGAAACATCTCTTATCTGTACTCAATCCCCCTTTAAAAGATTATTTTCAGACAATTACCGTATTTATCTGAATAAACCCCTCGATTGGAATAAACTCCCCCTCCAGAGCCTTATTTGGAATAAAAATTCCAGGGCGTTATTTTTTCTCGAATAAACGCCCCTAAATGACTCTATAACCAAACTAATGGAAGCAACATCATTCTCATTAATGTTTTAGTCCAGTAGAACTGAATTACATTGTTTGGATTCAGTGAGTGTTAAAGGTCACCCAATAACACATTTGACGGTAATTATGTCTTGTAGTTCCACTTACTATACATTGAAATTAAGGGGCATTTATTTGAGTATATACGTATCCATTTTAAATAAAAATAAATAAATAAATAAACAAACAAATACACACCACCTCAAAAACTCTTCTTTACAATAAACGTTTATTCGAATAAATACGGTATTTCCTTAATCCATCTTCGTCAAGTACCGGTATTCTTTCAGTGGCAATGCAAAACGTGTTATCTGTTTTAACAGCCGCTATAAAGTGTATATATTTATTATGAATCATGAAGTGTATTACTTTCTGGCAGTTAACAACGCATTTAAAAGTGGGCACTCACTGCGTCATACGCCGGACGTACGACTGTCGTACAACAAATTCAACTCGGATCCATGTGAGCGCTAGATGACGTGATGCCGTCTGATGATCATGGGCAGTCGCAGTCTGAAAGGATTGTCATTAAAAACAAACCGTTGCACGAGTCATTCTCCATAGATTCGCGTCGACCGACGAACATCAGGTGCAGTGAATGGCCGGCTTAAGGCATTTTTTCTTTCAAACATTTGTACATCAATCAAATTTGTCCCGTTCTATCTCAGAAGTTTATAACTTTGCTATAGTTCTTTCTGTGACACCATTAAATAATTCAAACATTACAAAATATTACAAATAGATCTGATAAAATTTTTAATAAGATTTTTCAAATCTCGATAGTGGGCAGTGTACTCTTTTTGTTGAAGTACTGTATAAATACATTAAACAAATCATCTGTACATACTCTTGTAACCAAAATGTCTGACTATCATAACATAATATTGGTATTTGTGTCTTCCATTTTAAACAGCCTACACTGTACAAATAGTTAATAATTATCAATCCAATACCCAACTTATTAATAATATGAATAACTTCAACTATTTAAATGAATTCTGAATCATTCTACAATAATTTTGTTATATAAATACAGTATAATAGGTCTTGTGGGCTGTATTGCAACCTTTTATGCATGCTTTGTATTTAGTATATAATGTATGCAAATGTGATAATTTTGATGCTTTCAATGTTGAAAATCTTGATGTTTATGGGCCCACCTATTTTTACACGTCTTCAGATTTAATTTAGTGCTTGAGGTTGGGCTTTAAAAAGAACGTCCCCTCCTTTTTGAAGTTTTTTTTAGCATGACAGCAACTGTCTTAAGGATGACACCACTTAATGATGGTTGCTTTTTCTGTTGATGGCAGATCCTGCTGATGGCAGCTCTCACTACTTAATTACAGTTGCTCTCGCTGATGGCAGATCCTGCTGATGGCAGCTCTCACTAAATAATGACAGTTGCTCTTGCTGATGGCAGATCCAGCTGATGGCAGCTCTCACTAATTAATGACAGTTACTCTTGCTGATGGCAGATCCTGCTATGGCAGCTCTCACTAATTAATGAGAGCTGCTCTTGCTGATGACAGATCCTGCGGATGGCAGCTCTCACTAATTAATGAGACCTGCTCTTGCTGATGACAGATCCTGCTGATGGAAGCTCTCACTAATTAATGAGAGCTGCTCTTGCTGATGACAGATCCTGCTGATGGCAGCTCTCACTAATTAATGACAGCTGCTCTTGCTGATGACAGATCCTGGAAGATCCTAATGATAGTAGTTCTTACTGATGACAGCTCTAATGATTGCAGCTCACACTGAAGGCGGCTCTTACTGATGGCAAATTTTGCTGGCAGCAGTATTTACTATTGTCAGCTATAATTCATGGTGGTCTTTTAGATAATTGCTCCTTACTACTAATGCTGCAATCAAGAGACACCAGCATTTCTCATTGCCATCATGGTGTTTACATCCCATATTATTGTGCGTATCTGCTCCATGATTAGTTTTAACTTCCGATTCTTGGCTTCAATGTTCTGATAAAAGAGATATGATATTGTATAGAATCTGCTATCAAATCAAGAATGTAATAATATTAAATCAAGATAATCACACTGTTTTACTGATATAATAAATGCCATAGACATTATTTATGCAACTATAATATTTATTGGTTGTTAAATATCTTGATCAAATCAAATCAGTTTTTACTCATTTATAAATGCTTTACTAGAAAAACATAAGGGTCTATCTATACACCATTTTTGCGAAATTTGAAATGAAAACCTGGCAACTACAACTGGGGGACTTTCAGAGGCCTAGCATTTCGCTCTATATACTTACACCAAGGATTAAATCAACGATTAAACTAAATTGCTAAACGAGTACAAATATTTTAAAACGGAAAAAAACACGAAATGTTTACATTAAAAACAAGTCTAAGTCTTAAAAATGGTCAGAAAAATGAATTTAATTGAATATCTAATGTTATGAATAGGAACCAAATTATACATTTGAAGTTGCGAAAATGTAAAAATGTTTTCTGTTATTTCTTAAATTTTACAATAGTAAAAACCAAAAGTACTGAGAAACACTGAAAAAAAACAACTTAAAAAGCTATTTCAATATTTACATATACAGTAATTACAGTAATTAGCAAGATCGTCTCTGTTGTCTGTCTATTGCTGCTATAGCAAAGGTCTAGCAGCGCTATCCGTTGCGCGGTGCTCTATTCATAACTAGCCAGCTGCTCAGACTAGGCCGCTGGAAGTCCCCAAATGAGTTACCAGACATTGGCAGCGCTGTTTCAAAATAAATCCCATGAAATGGTCTATAGATAATAGGAATGGTATGATTTTATTCATTTTCACTGGTTCTAATTTTTAATAACTTCATAAGATATTTATTCATTACCTATTTATTAAGTATTTATTATTTATTTATTCATAGTAATGAAAATAGGAATAAACATAATCCTTAAAAAAGTAATAATTATAACAATAAAAAGAATAAATAACAATAATATTATGAAAAAAATGAAATAATAATAGTAATGTTAATAACAATAAAAATTAATTAAATCATCAAAATAATTAATTAATTAATTTTAAATCATCAAAACCATTTTTTCACGTTTATTCATTAACTGAAGCTAGTAGTTGCAGTCATACTCTACATATAGAGTGACTCCAAACAACTTTCATTACCTCAATAGAGACAGTATAAAGTATAAAAGGATTTATTTTAATGCAAGTAAATCATAATAACTTCAAAATAGAGAAAATTTTAAATTTCTTACCTGAATGGTGGCTGGCAAATCTGCTACCCGTTGCTGTCGTTCAGAAATTGGCTTCTCTGGTTTTGGTTCGTTTATCCATGGAATTTGACTTGCCTGCAGAACAACAATATATTATTAACCTGTACTATTAAATTCCCATCATACCTGTACAGGGTGTGGATGTAACAGAAAGTTAGAGTACAATAGCCTGTATTTTTGTTATGAGCTTGTCCTCCACCCAATGTTTCAACCTGCAGTGTCTCAATCAAGGATTGGTATTAGTGATGGTATTTCAGGATAAAAATACACATTTACTGTTTTTACATGATGGAGTGGAGGTGTGTTAGAACTCTACGCATTAAGATTTACTACTATTGGAAAGTTGGCATCAAACTAAAAAAATCAATTTAAATATTATTCATTCTAAATTAAGATTTTAAAAAGGGGGATGTGAAAATCTATATGGCAGCCTCGGACCATTAGGAAGGCCCGGTAACAGCTGTAGCTGCCCTGAATGCATCTGCTCAATTTTGCCCAGTTTACTTCAGTAAGGCTTGTTCAATAAACATATGAGATGCATGAGTCAATTTGAATTGATAAACTTGTTACCATGGATGATGAGGACATCTCCAGAGTGCTACAGTTCTCATTACACTTCTCGTAAACAACTTTTAACTTCCGGAATAGAACAGTGATGCTGTTAAGGTTTTCATCTATCTTCTTTTTGCGGTCTTGATGGTTTTGGTAACGAATCTGCACCCCATTTGGAATCTTTAGTGTGGAATAAAAAATTAAATGAGCGTTTACGATGGTTGTCGACAAACATCCAAGATGACGTATTGACTTATCTACACAACAAATAGTAGCTGCAATCAGGAAAGATTTGTTTATGGGATGGTCTGCAAAAGTACTTAAGCTAAACTAATAATACAAATACAGGTAACTTTAGTTTCTGCACTGTGCACAGGAACTTTGTATTAAATTATGATGCATTGCATACCACAATAATTATAAACATATCAAACTTAGGAAAAATTGTATTAATTAAATGTTACATTAAAAATGAAATATTGAAATAAATATATATAATAAACCATTATCCTAATAATACAAATATTAATATAAGAATAAGTAATAGAAAAAGCAAAATTCTTACAAAAAATATATTTTAAAAATTAAACCAAAAAAATTAATTATGAGAAATGAAATATAATAAATATCAAGGTATGTAAATTTTATTTACTATATTGATACTTAAAATCGAGCAACAAACCTGAGTCGCTTTCAGATGCGTGAATAATTCCAAGGTTTTGAGCACTATCTCATGCACTGTCTCTTGTCCAAGCTGACACAGAGCTGTAACATTTAGTGGGGGTAATCCCTGTCTCTTATACACATCTAGATGTGTATAAGAGACAGGTATAAAGTATAAAAGGATTTAATAGTTGCTGATACAACAACAACTTTTATTTTCAAATTTCTAAATCAAAATTAAAATCAAATTTATTTCACAAGTTTGAAACATTACATACACAATTCAAGCAAGTAAATGAAACAAACAGAACAAAGCAAGCAAGGGTTGCTGAGAGGGCATAAGCCAATATAAATAAACTACATGGTACAAAGATATTCATTAATTGCAATGAACAGGCGGCATAAGACAAGACTTTTTTTATACCTTGTTCAGCGAACCCGCTGACTGCAAATATTGATGATTTCAAATAAAAATAAAATTGTATTTTTGGGCAATTAGCGTACCCGCCTCCACTAAAAAGTGGAAATTTCAGACCCTCTGCTGCCTTAAAAACTCAAAAGATAAGATATGTATATTTCTTCCTAATTATATAAATTTGAAGCATTTACCCATCCTATTTTACCAATAAAATTTTATTTTTATTTTCCCCTCTGTCTGGATGTTTTTGGCAAAATTATTTGCTAAATAAGAAAACAAAATTTTATTTTTATTCCGCCCTCCTCTGATCATCATTTACAAAAATAAACCAAATACACGAAACAAGGAATAACATTTTTTTTTCGCTTAAGGACTATTATTATTAATCTAAAATCAAAGAAGTGATGAGGGAGAGTGTCTTAAACATTTTATTCAAATTTGTTAGTTGGCAATGACATTGACATTAAAAAGTTTATAAATTTACTCTTCAACATTAAGTAGACCTACAGTACAGCATGATATAGCACATTGCTAATTGACAGAATGGAAAAACAGAGGAAATAGAATCCAATAAAGAGGAATCAAATTTATCCTACAAAGCACAAAACTTTATGTTATAATCAGAAAATGATTGGCTGGACAATGCATATACTGTAAGTGTATTTTTGTTTATTTTTTTCCTGTCAGACATATATATAGCATACTCCTTTTCGATGCGATGATGCTTAGTTAGGCAGTATAGCCCTTCCTTCCTCCACTTCAGTCTTCGAATCCTAGCCTAATTATAAATAATAAAACTGTACAATACTAGGCCTATGTACTCTAGGCCTGCACCTAGCTATATAGGCAGTACGTCTAGGCCTACATACACTAGGACCCTACTCCACACACCGGCTTAACCAGGTTAGTTAGGCTACGCCTAGCCTAACGGCCCTAGCCTGAGTAGTAATATAGAAATGTTATTATAGCCAATGCAAATTATGTGAACAAATAACATCTGTGAAATACTAAAAAATACATTATTACATAACAGCGAATCAGTAATCACCAATATGATGCTAGCCTAGGCCAAAAAAAAAGCTTTCTTTCGGTACAAAATCCAAAATCTCGGAAAGCATTTATTTATTAATCTGACATGACATGACCTATCTTGTACCAAAGGCAACGGTCACCGTGCGCCTAACTACCCTTGCATGTACTCACTGCTTTTTTGTCCTCTATCGGCACGGGTTAGTTTTTATCAATTATTTTCTTGACTTTTCGATGTTTTCCTTTTACTGTGCCAGGGCCGGCGGAACTTTTTTCAAAGTGGGGGGGGGGGCACTTATAAACGAATGGGAATATGAATCATGCAGATCTGGAATAAAATCTAGGGGGTGGGGTAGACATTTTTTTCCAAAAACGAAAGGGGATCCGGGGTCCTCCCCCGGGAAAATTCCTAGAAGGCGGGAAATGCTTTCCCGACTTTTGAGTTGTCTTTTAATGACTTTTAAGTTATTAAAAATTCAAGGTTTTCCCCCTCTTGAAATTGAATCAATGAAGCCCAAAGAAATTGGGTACGGGTTCCCCGGGAAAATTTCGATTTCTAGATGGCGGGAAATGAGGTTTCCTGACTTCTGAAATAAAATGACTTTTTAAGTTCTTCAAAATTCAAGGTTTTTCCCTCTTGAAAACGGTTAGGTATATTTTTCTCAATGTTTTATTTTATGTGTGTATACAGGCCTACATAAACAAATAAGTAGTTGCATGCGTATTTTTCTTTTCCATGAATCGATAAATCCCAAAAAGAAAGGGTGGTCCGGGCGTTCTCGCCCGGGAAAATTTTGATTCATATATGGCTGGAAATGAGCTTTCCAGACATTTGATCTAATTTTCTTATTGTAACAAAAAAAAAATCAGCTGACAGGTCCTGAAAAGGTAGGTCTAGAATTCCTTTTTTTTTTTTGTTGCCCAAGGGAGGGTGCAGGACATATGACCCCCCTCCCCCAGATCCGCCAATGTAAATTGCGAGAAAATGTAACTCGGTCGGGGACTGGATAAACATTCTCTTTCCCATCCTTCTCCTCATTCTTCCCTCTTTCTTTTCTTGCATTTCTTTCCGATCATACAAAAATCTCCAGACATAAGATTTTGCCAA